CCAATCACTTAAAAACAGACAACTTATATATATAGATTAGCTGATTAATACTGAACTTGGAATTTTATTAAACTGGAATCTCATTAAATTAATATTTTCAGATTCAAACAAAAGATATATTCACAATGGTATAACAAGCTTAGAGAAAGAATTAGAAATAACAAAAGATTTAAGCTCAATAATAATTGAATATCAAAGTCATAAAAAGAAAATAGCATAAGCTGGTTCAGCAAGATTTCCCTAAACAAAAGGATTAAGAAATAGTATATATTAAAAAATAAACAAAACAAAATACAATGGAAAAAAATACAAACAAAAAATAATCTAGCAAACAGAACATTTACACTTTTTTATTATAGCTATATGATATCTGAGCCAGAACAAACTATCTTTAAAGCCAATATCAAATTTATCTGCAACCCAAGCAGCTCTTAGACAAATCTAACAATAAAAGTTTCAAGCAGAATTAAGGTAGGAAAAAAAATATTCTAGGCTGTTACTTTTTAAACAGAACATATGGCAACAATAGAATCTGGGAAACAAGAATCTCCTGTAATTTCTATATACTTGAAAAATGAATATTGGCAACATTCAAGATACTATTCAATTACATGAAATGAATCAAGCTACAGAAGGTCACAATACTGAATTGGGATATAGAATTAATCAAAAAAATAGTCAAGTCAAAAGATTACAAAATGGATCTTATAGAAGTTTTACTTAATAACAAATACCTATCATATTCAAATATCACACAAACAATTTATCAATATGAATTCTATACAGATAGATTTCTTTCTACTAAACAGGAGAACAAGAAAAGATGAGATTGAAATGGATACTGTATAGATTCAAATTTAAGAACTTATATCTAATTGCAAATTCCAGTGTAGAGTTTAAGACTGGCTATCATTGTACAAAACAAAGGCTACAGTTATTTTGACAGTAATTTTTACAATACCAAGAAAAAAGAAAGTCACCATTTATATAAATAGTCAAAATTGTATTGACACCTTTACCACAATCTTCAAAGCCAACATTAAGCTGATTTATAAAAGATGGCTCAAAATTAACAATTGGTCAATTTGACATAATATCTTGGAAATTATTGAAAAAAAAAATCTTAAGCTTAAACTCAGTAAGATAAAAGTATACTCTGGCAACATATATAATAAACAAGCAGACCAATTTATCAAACAAGCTACCCAACTTCCAACAATTATGTAGTTTTCAACAAGTAGCAAATATATATAAATTACCACTACTTGATACAATAAGGTATTGGATACAGTTTCAAAAACTTTATTAAGAAAATTAATAAAATAGCAAATCTGAAAACTTGAATAAAAAGTGAAAGAATATGATAGCTTTTAGAATATCAGATTGATTAACAAATGAGTTTTACCTGGCAACAGTTTTGAAACAATTTCAAGCTAAATGAACTGACCATATCTTTCAAAGAAAGTAGAAAAAAAAGCTTCTAAATCAAACTTTTACACAATAAGTTACTAATATTAGATAAACTCAAAGTAAGAAAGCTCTGGCTATACAGAATGCATAACAGTTACAGAGCATACAGCATGGAACCTAAAATGAAAAAACATCTTTTTACATGTCTGGTACTAGAAAAGCTTATTAGCAAAACATAATTCAAAGCTAAGGATCCTAACAATTCTCTTCGATTCTATATTTTATTCTCAAGTTTATATTAAATTTAATAGGTGGGGTATATTCATCATTATTTTTAATAGTGTTTTGAACCTTATGTGATTTCTTGCGATTCTGTTCGATTCCAATTTTTGAAACCATATTCAAAGCTATGCAATAGCTTATAAAAGATCTCAAAAAATCTTATGAGAGCTCAATAAATATGACAGATATGATTAAAACAGATACAGCAATAGCATATTTGATCCAAAAAGTATTTAACAAAAAAAAGAAAGATTAAACTTCGCAATTGGACTAATATCAAAAAAACAAATCACAGAATTTCACAACTGGACAAGTATCAAAATTACTTAATCCAAAGCCTAGCAACTGTTATGCAAAACCACATCCTATTTTCTTAAACATTTCTGAAAGCTAACTTGGAAGTACAGATGTAATTTCACAGTAGCAGCTGACCAGATTATAAGTTTGAACCTAAGAATTAAGAAAGATTCAAGACAACTGAAATCTGAAGATATACCAGATACAGTAACTACATCTTTACCATTAACAAAGCCTAAATCAAATTAGAATCTTAGCCTTGAAAACTTTATTTTCAGATCTACAAATGATAACAGTTTCATTAAAATCCAGTTCTCAAATATTCAAGACAATAAAGGAAAAAAAAGTAAGAAAAAACCAACATATAAAATGAAGAATTATATAACTAAGATAGATAAGATTAGAGAGTTAATACAGGAGTTCATAGAAAGTGGATCAAAATAGCTTGCATTAAAATAAAACTTAATTTGTATTTATAATACATGATATGTAAAGATAATCTGCAAGTGTTAACTTTATTAAACAAACAGGTTCTTAATCTTAATTAATAGATAAGCAATATATTATCTCTATAAATCATATCTAAAAACTTTATGTTACAGACAGGTGAGCTAGGTTAAGGAAATTTATATATAACTTTTATTTGTAATGGTTTATTTTTATTTAATAAATAAATGACATTAACCTAATTGAGGAAAAAAAAATTAAATAAATAAAAAATTATTAGTAATTTTAAAAAAATAATAAATTTTAATATTTAATTTTAAATATTAATAAAGTTAAAACTTATTAAAATAGAAATATATTTTTTAAAGTAAGTAAACATTGTTACTTTATTATAATTGCAAAATTGAAAATATTTATATAAAGAAAGTAACAACATTTTTCACATAATCAATTAATTGGTAAATTTAATACTAGCTTGCCTACAGTAAACTATCTAAGTTATAAAGAAAAAAAAATATTAAAACCAATACATTGTCAAAGATAATATCAAGCAGCTATAAATACCTATTCAGATTTATATATAAGAAAACTATAAGAAGTAAATATTAAAGAAAAAAAAAATACTAAACAAAGAAATTAATGCAAAAAAACTATTTGTAAAATTAAAAATACTTTGGAGAAGCATATCACTTTGATAGTTTTATTTAACTGAAGTACAATTTATATATATTTATACAAATGGCCAGGCTATTGTTTAAAGTATACAGTAGTATTGATAATGTATTTCTTTAATAGTCAATTGATTGTGATAAATGTATTGTTGTTGTGTTGGTACAATTAGTAATTTATTTGTTTGTTAATAGTATAATTGATTTGTTTGTTAGTAATGTAATTTTGTTTTAATAGTTGTTAATAATTAATAAACAAATTAATTAAGAATTATATGAGAAACTTGAGTTATTTGCACAATCAAATTAGAATTATGAATGCAAAAATTATATTTTTAAAAAACAAATAACTATATGAAAAGAAAAAATTTGATTCTTGAAAGAAGAGTTTTCAAATATTATAAATTTTTTTAATTAAGAGAAGAAAGAATTACAAAAAGTAATTTTAGATCTTAAATAATTTTTTTATCAAGCTGAGAAAAAAATTAGACAAAAGAATAAAAGTTTTATTACTAAAGAAAGTCAATTAATCAAGTTTGATATCTAAGAAAAAAAGCTTAAGTATAGAATAAAAAAACAATCAACATTAGAAAAAATTCTTCTTAAACTTATAATAACTTGATAAAAATAACAGATATGATAAAACAACTTTATAATAAGAATAAAAGATTAAGGTTATATTTTATTGAAAAAAATAATTAAATATATTATTAAAAAAAATATATTACTGATTTATATTATTAAAATTTCAATATAAGATTATTATATTACTGTAATAAACATAAACTTCAAAATATATGAGATACTTTATAAATTATTGATAATATAAATCAAAATTTATATAATATATTAGAGATCTTTACTATTAAAAAAAGTTTTATACAGTGGAAGTCAACAACTTTTTATTGAAAGCATCAATTTTTCACCTGCAGTGTAACCCACATGAATAAATATATTAACCAATGAAAAGTGTCACTGTTTTTTTTTACATCACTCTTTTATGGATGAAATTAAATACAAATTAGACTAGCTGAAGTATTTTTTTTTAAGCAATGACGTGAAACTCACTGTGCCCGCAAACTGGACTTAATAAAATTTCTGATTCCAGTTTAGTTTATTGAGTCGAGACACCTGTATATATTTAAATTCAGTTTCAAAGAAGTGTCTAATGAGCAAACAGATTATCAAAATCGAATAGGCAATAATGGATATTATTTATATCAATTTATTTCATTTCAAGGTATGAAGCAACATATTTGATGAGATATTCAATTAATTCAAAATATCATTCTGGTTCATTATATTTTCACTAATTGAACAATGACTTTTTTGCTATTTAACAGCATACTCAACCATTCGTCCTGTTAAACCCTTTCGATATGCATCTATCCATCGGTAAGAGAGTCTCACATATTTTCTAATTCTTTCGATTGGAATAGAATCAAGTGTGATCGGCACATTCTCCTTTAGTCCTTTCCATGTATAATCACAGTTTTCTCATGTATACTTTTTCACTGCACCCCAGTACATCTCAATATAGTTAAGTTCCGGGTGAAATTTTGAATAAAATATTACCTAAAATAAGATTATATATGATTTAGTTGTAAGAATCAAGTTTTTATAAAATATATTTATCTTATGACCATGCCTTTCGATTTCTTGTTGAATTAATTCATATTCAGCCAAAAAATCAGATTGGTTCGCAAGAAGACGACGTGCACAACAGTTTGTTATATCGGGATTTGGTTTATTCTTTTTACACAACTTGCAATCTGCTAACATCCCTTCTTTCCAAAGATCTCTCTCAATAAGAATAGCCTTTATTCCTTTTGGTTGTGATCATAAAGAAGGTTCATAATAATCATCTGGATATGTCATTTTTTGAATCTTTCTGTTTCATGTCATATCTCTCATTTCTGGCTGCATATCATCAGAATTCAGATTCATTCTAGCAGCCACTAGTGCATCAGGTGCCATACCAGTGTGACTTGTTGCGTTATCAAATGCCCAGACTCCAATACATCCAGGGTAAGTCCGTTCGAAGATTGTTATGACATTTTTTAGCAGAAGTAATAATTTTTTTCCATCCCAATATCCATTATTATTTGCACCAAATTGCATTATAACTTTTGCTTCTCCTTCTCTATCTTTTAATCGTCCAATCGTCTCTGTTAAAAATTCACTAACATGAAGTCCTTGGCCAAGTCCTTTTTTTCTTAATGGTTGTTCTTCTTCAGGTGCCCAGAATTTACGAATGCCATTATAAGAGTGAAAAGTACATTTATCATAAGTAATTAAGATATGTTTCTGCTCATTATGTAAAAGATATAACTCTTCACAGACTTTACAGTTGATATCATTCCACTTAGACATTAATTTTTCATATTTTTCCATTTCTTGTAAAAACTTTTGACGAAACACTACAACATCATTTTTTTCATGACCATCTATATACACACTTTTTTGATACTGTTTATAATAAAATCTCATTTTTCTTAATCAACGTTGTGCTGTGCTCAAAGAAATTGTTTGTGCTTGATCGATATAAAGTTCGGAAAGAATTTGGTTCTCAAAAAATTGTTTGATAAGCCGAGAATTTACTTGAAATTTTGTTGCTCGTAAATAGTTCGCAATTCTTATAGTGACATATTCATCATAAAGAAGTGATTTTGACGGATGTTTTTCACGTTGAGACGGAGGTAAAAGTTTATTTTCTAAGCATGTTTTTGTCCATGCTTGTATACATTTAGCACGATACTCACCACCATTATGAATTTTTGCCACTATTATACTTGCTTCGATTTTAGGCATTTTATGCTGAAGAAGTTGTATATAATAGATAACAGAAGTGTATTTTACCTTATCAGATTTTAATATCTTTGCTTTATCGATTATACATTGTACTCTTTGAGTTGTTTCCTGAAGTCTTTGTTTCCATTGTAATAATCCTTCGATAAGATCACTTTCACTTTCATAATCTAACTGCTGATCATCATCCTAATTATTTGTCTTACTATCCTCCTGACTACCTGCTTTACCAACCTCCTGACTATCCACCTTACTATCCTCTTGACTATCTGCCCTATTATCTTTCTGATTATCCATCTTGTCATTCTCTTGACCATCCACTTGATTAAAAAATTGTGATATTTTATGAGATCCTATAGCAGCTATTTTGAGTTCTCTCGATTTTCATTGTCTTGTTCAAATAGAGTTTCCAGTATATCTCCAATGTAAGTTATTTTGAATCAGTTTTTTATACACTAACTCTGCAACTTCTTCCTTTTCTAGATCATACTCGTTATTATTGTTTATAGGCATGTCATTATCACTGTCTAATATATCATCATTACTTTTCGATACATCTTCATCACTATCATTAGGTTTTTTGCATTTTCTTGCTCATTCTGCATTGGCACGGTGTATCAATATGTTCTTTTTAAGATGACCTATAGTTATTGATGCCACTATACAAATAAACAATAATTTAATATACCTTCTTATAAATAAAAATACAGTTATTGGGTTTTTTTACCATATTACAATATTACAATTCTCGAGAAGAAGGTATTACAACTAAACTTGCAAAAATCTTCACATAGATCACTAAATTTTTATTGGTTAATTTTATCACATGACTGGCACCAATTTTTTAAAATATATATATATAAATAAAATAAATTAATTTAATATAATAAAATATTTACTTTATTAATATAAAATATTTTTTATAAAAAATATAAACTAACTAATAAATAATGTTTTTTATAAAAAAAAAATTAAATTAATATTAAATTTTAATATGAAATTTCAATTTTTATAAAATATATTTTAATGTATGGCTTTTGCTGACTTCCACTATACCTGGTTTATCAACAAATAATTCTCATTTATAAATATTGGAATTAGGTCCTAAAGAAGTATTATAGCTAAAATAAAGATAAAGTTATTTATATAATGAATTAATAATAATAAATATAATATAATATGAAGCTCAAGTAAGAAATTGCAAAATTTATTAAATGAAGATACAAATAGAGCTCCTAATGATACCACTTTGATACTTAAATTATGGTTTTGAAAATTGGAATCAAATAGAATTGAACAGAATTGCATGAGGTTTGGAACACTATTAAAAATAATGGTGAGGTATACCTCACCTATTAAATTTAATATAAACTTGAGAATCGAATATAGAATCGAAAAGAATCATTAGGATCCTTAACTTAAATTACTATAAAAACATACAAGTAGATTACAACCTATATATTAAATTTATTATAGATTGGTACTATTTTAATACCAGTTCAATATCAGTTCAGTACTTTTCAGAGCCCTAGATACAAATTTTTCAGATAGTAATATATCAACGGATAATAGATTAACATCAGATATAACTATTATTATAGAGTTAATAAATGCTATAGATAGTTTTTTAAATAATAGAATAACAGTTAGAGATACATATATTCTAATAAATCAAATAAAAAGGATAATAAAGCAGATTTGACAAAAAGAGAATAATTTATAACAAGATTTAATTTGTAAGCAATAGAGACATTATAATAGAAAAACAAAATAAGATTTAACAAACTTAGTATATACTAATAAGAGAATTGAATCTTGTTGCTAACTTTTTTTTTTTTTTGAAAAGAGCAAATAGTTATTACATTTTATTATATTTATTATACTTTCACTTGCAAAGCAAGGTACAATACTCAATAGCACGACATATGTCTCTCTTTGCTAGAAAGAGTTTAATATAAGGCTCTTGTATAGGGCCATACCCCTGTGTTCTTTTAGCACTATTCAAGGAATACAGACAAAAAGAAATTCAAAAATCTATATTATGTTTATGAATGGTGTCTAGCTATTTAGAAGTAAATGAATACTTAATCCTATAAAAGCACTGCAGCCAATCTATACAGGTTGGCCTCCAAGTCATGATTAGGATTGACACACCTGCTTTCCAAATATGGCTTGATGTACAGCAAGTGGGGTAGTGTTGGAGATGATAAGAAATGGGTACCTTTTTGCATAAAGGCGCTGCAGCCACTTTATATAGGTTTGCCTTCAAGTCACAAAAAAGATTTGGCACATCCATACTTCAAGTGTAGTGGAAGTGTCCTATAGGTGAACATTGCTGACATTTTTCATATAAAAATAAAAATAGATGTGTTCAAAAACTATTGCAAGAAAAATTTATCTTATAACTACTTTATTTAAAAAATGCTTACTATTTATAAAGATGTTATATACATATATGGAAGGAATTTATAACTTAGATTTATACATATCAAGATGTTTTATTTCTTTGTAATTTGCTGTTAGACAATAAATAAAATAAATAAAAAATTTGAACTTGAAATAATAAGCAATCAATTTTAAATTTACAAGAACAAATTTTATTGTTATAAAATAATTTACTATTAAATATAGCCATGACTAAATATTTACTAATATTAAAATTAATGTCTCCTGTTCTTACAAAATTTTAATCTTATATAGGTCAAGAACCATTTGATAATTACTTGGATAAAGTTATTCAATTATAGACATACTTTGAAGAATATACTGTATAATGGTTCTTAAAAATACAAATGTAAAAGATTTTGATAATGCAATAAAATATAATATTTTAAAATTTATAATGGATAAAAAATATGCTTTAGGACTAGCAAACAATAGTTTTGTAGTAGAAAATCCAGCTATAAATACTCCAGATATATTACAAGCTTAAATAAGAGCAAAATATCAATAAAATACTGTTGAAAATCAGCAATTGACTATTCAAAGATTAATTCAAAAAAAATATCAACCATATGATACTTCTAATACTTATGAAGTTAGAATTTGACCTTTAATAATTAGTATATCAGATAATAATATGCAAGTTATAGGATTTATTAAAAATTATTTAATAGATGATTTTTATATGTGGATAAAAATTGCTAATTCAGTAAGTATTAATATATTTTTTACTGAACTAAAAAATATATAATTAAAGTATATATCAAATTTAAGTAAAAGAATTCTAGAAAAATCAAGTCAAACTAACTTAAATTCAATATTCTATTCTTTATACAAGCTATTCTAATTTTTTAACAATAAACTCAAACTAAATATTAGTTAGAAAAACAAAACAACAAATTTCAATCTGTATTAGAAAAATGTAATATTGAATATAAAGCTAAAATAGAATCTATATTATAACAAAAAATGAAAAAAATATCATTATTTATACTACCAAAAAATATAAATGAAATTAATAATGTTATATTATTAAAAGAATTATATAGTATGGGATATAAAGATAGCCCATTAATATATTTTATGAAAACATATAAAAAATATAATGATAATTTAAAAAGAATATATAATAATAGAATAGGAAAAGTAGAAAAAAAACTAAATGAAACTTATGGATCTGTAAACCAATTAATCAAAGAATTTCAAAAAATAAATAAAAATAAAAACAATATTGCAAAATTTAATTTTATTTAATCTTATTTCATACCTCTTAAATTTTTATATTCTCAATACACTAGTCCAAATTGGGTTATTCGGCTGCCAAATTACAGCCGATTAAATCCAAATTTATTAATAAAAGTTTATACTGAAGTTTTGTTGTTTGGTCCAATTTATGCCAC